TGTATGTATGTGTGTGTATATATATATATATATATATGTGTGTGTGTGTGTGTGTGTGTGTGTGTGCGTGTGTGTGTGTATATATATACATGTGTGTGTGTGTGTGTGTGTTTATACATATTAGTTTTTCTTATATCATATAGAAATGATTTATGTTTATTTCAAGTATGTTATAAGTGTGTTTTGTATACATTTATATCTGACATAATATACATTTATACAAATTTCAATGTTAATGTGATACTGACACACTTAAGATATTAATGGAGTGTGTGTATGTGTGTTATGTTCTGACTGAAAACAGAATTTGTTTAAATTTACTTTATTTAAATTATTTATATTTGTATACATTTATATTTATTATTTATATATGGTAAAACTATTTTAAAGTGTTAATCTCAGATATGCTTAATAAATATAAGATATTTTAGAGAATATTAATAATGACAATTTGCTTACATTAAAAATATACATTTAATTCAAATGCATTTCAAATTTGGAAACAATTATCTTGTAGTCTTTATAATATCACACTTAATATTTGTTTTTTCTCACACACTTTTTCCTAACATATTTAGGGGTCCTTGGCATCAAAATGTTTCAAATCCTAAGGTTGTCCTCAGGTCAACTCCTGGAGGTCAAGTTTTTAATGTCTCAAGATGGTACCACCACAAGCTATAATGTAATGTATGTTGTAAAACAGGACAAAGGTCAACTTTGGGGCTATATATTGGAAGACTGAACTTGAAAATGTGAGGTTGGATGTGACGATGTCCTTCCTGGTGGCCGTGGTAACTCGATTCACGTGATTAGATTGTTATTAGTATTCCATGAGGCTGATCATCTATTGATCTCCTCCGTCTGTGAGATTTTGAGGACATCAAATACGTGAGGCAAAAGCTGCTTAGTTTGATGCATAGACCAAGAGGAAGGGAGGGTGGGTTGGATAAAATAAGTGAAAGAAAAAGAACGAGAGAGCTGATGAAGACAAATCTAAGAAAAAATCCTGAGCATTGCATAGACTAAAAGCAGACAGGCAGAAATCTGGACGTATTCGCTGGTTTTCACTCAACTCGAGCTGAGCTGCTTAAGATCGGGGAAGAAAAACTCCCATAACCCTTTCATCCACCTCCAGACCCCAGCATCTTCTCCGTTTTTCCTTCCCTCACTCAGTCCGAATCTCTCAATCTCCGGTGGCTTGCCAAAAGACTTCAGTCAGCCGTTTCTGCTTGGCTACCCTCAGTAAATCAATCCTGCTGATTGGGTCTGCTCTCTGACAGGGCAAGGACCCTGACAAAGACTAAGAGAGATGTATACATGTCGCTCCTGGTTACAGTCACCTGGCTTTAGTGGCTTGGATTGGTGGGAAGGGCTCTAAGTGAAAGGGAGATGAATGGGAAAGGCAAGGTTATGTTCAGAACGGGCTAAATTAAAGTTTTAGGTTGAAAGCGAAATGAGTTTTTCTTCATCGCAGGCCATGACATTTTGAGTATCTATAGATTTGTGGCTTCTGCTTTCAAGTGTGTGCATTTACATTTGCATGCCGGTACATATGTTGAGTGGAGCTCGCTGCTTCTCTAATCTCAGAGTACCTTTGGGGACAGTGTTAAATTCATCAGTCATGCAAATGAATGCAGTTTATGAGTAGAATAATCTACCTCCTGCTCTCTGGAGAATATTGCTTTCAAAGAAGCACCATGATGGGATTTCCGCTTACCCTCTACAGATGCAGAGCAACCAATCAAAAGTACGGTGTGATGTTATTTCTGTTCGAAACATGCTAACTTTGTCATCTTTCGTTTTCTCATACATGTATGTGCATGTATTACAGATGTCTGTATTTATTAGCATATTTGTGTTTTTCATTCTTTGGCAGGAGAATTTCAACCCAGAATGCAAATTCAAAGAGAGTGTGTTTGAGAACTACTATGTGACGTACTCCTCCATGCTGTACCGCCAAAGCCAGTCTGGACGCTCGTGGTATATCGGCATCAACCGGGATGGCCAAGTGATGAAGGGCAACCGCGTGAAGAAGACCAAAGCAGCCGCACACTTCCTACCTAAAGTCATCGAAGGTCAGATCAGGTTTAAACTTGAGAAACATTCAGATTAGGGCTGCATGATTAATCTAATGTGATTGTCATGCGCATCTTGTCAGTAAAGCTGGTTCTGTGAGCAGTAGTAAATCTCCATCACGTGCTTTCAGATGGAGCAATATTTACTACACAGAGCCGTAGTTCACTGACAAGCTATGCAAAATCGCATTCATAATCGCAGACGATATTATTGTGCGATTATGAAATTGAAGATATCGTTCTGTGATTATGAAAGCTGTTTGCATAGCTTGTCAGTGAATGACGGCTCTGTGTAGTAAATGCTGCTCCATCTGAAAGCACGTGAAAATACCACATTTAATAACATGTTTTTACTCCAAACTCACTTCATAACGTCAGTCGAGTGTTTTAAATAAATCCTTATTTGAGATTATGTGGCTTCTTACACAGAATAAGGCACACAATATTTCATAGTATTCTAAGCAGTGATAAAGGCTGTCGATTAGCATTGCATTATTATATACTTTATTATAATAAAAATTATAATAAGACGAACTCAGATAAACCATATATTGTCGTAGTCGCGTGTTTATTAGTCACGCTGAATCAATGAAAGCAGTTAAAGGGGTCATACGTAACATTTCCGTCACACGCTTGAGGAATTCGGCCAATCACAACGCACTGGATAGCTGGCCAATCAGAGCACACCTCGCTTTTTCAGACCGATGAGCTTTGTAAAAATCAACGCATTTCAGAAAGGCGGGGCATAGAGGAGAAACAATAATGTACAGTATGTGGAAAATAATGTGTTTTTTTAACCTTATACTGCATAAGCACATTTCATTACACCAAATACACAAAATAATGTTATTTTTAGCAGCATCATATGACCCGTTTAAATCTTCTGTTTATTCAGCAACCACTATAGGGATTTCCTGGATTACTTCTGCAGGGTGTATTTGGAGTTTCAGTGCGAGAGCGCCCTCTGGCCTTCAGATGGGGATTTACTACTGATCAGAGAACTGTGCTTCACTGAAAGATACGCATGACAATTGCAGCTTCTGCCTAATCGCGATTTATCGCCTTTGCGATTTAAATTTCGATTAATCATGCAGCCCTACAATCTGGTATATATTTATTTAATTAAATTGCAGCAATTTGATAATGGCACTGGGCTTCTGCCTAATCGCGATTTATTAAAAAAGTCAACAGTAGACATAAATGCCAGAATAGAAAATGAGTTATTTTATGCATTTAAATGGTTTCATTTTCGCATATTTTCTAGTAGAAGTGCACTGTGCTCACATTTATTTGTGCATTAAATTACAAATAAAAAATACATATCAGCTTGTGCCTTATATTGTGATCTCGAATTGCAGAATATATTTTAGTACATGCATTTGAGAGACGTTCTTGTGTGCTGCGTATACATGCACAGTTTGCAGCTTTAATCGCCTTTTTGGTAATTTCATGACTTAGCTGACGAATGATATACAACGCGCTGGCGCATTTGTGTGTACAACTGAAGAGCATGTGCTATGATCACAGTATAATGGCTGTCAGGACAGGACAATTCCGTTTTACTGACATATGGCCTGACAACATCTCATCTGACTGCAGTTCACTGTTGTTCTACTGAAGCTCCCTCGTCTCCTGTACCTTGTCTGCGTTTGTTAGAAATGTTGGAGTAGGAGAGTGTGTCTGAAAAGTCTCCCGTTTGATGTGGCTGGAAAGACATTCTGCGTCTAATGCCACACATACATGAGTTTTTCCTCTTTCGTTTAAAAAAAATCCTCTCTCAATCTCCGGTGGCTTGCCAAAAGACTTCAGTCAGCCGTTTCTGCTTGGCTACCCTCAGTAAATCAATCCTGCTGATTGGGTCTGCTCTCTGACAGGGCAAGGACCCTGACAAAGACTAAGAGAGATGTATACATGTCGCTCCTGGTTACAGTCACCTGGCTTTAGTGGCTTGGATTGGTGGGAAGGGCTCTAAGTGAAAGGGAGATGAATGGGAAAGGCAAGGTTATGTTCAGAACGGGCTAAATTAAAGTTTTAGGTTGAAAGCGAAATGAGTTTTTCTTCATCGCAGGCCATGACATTTTGAGTATCTATAGATTTGTGGCTTCTGCTTTCAAGTGTGTGCATTTACATTTGCATGCCGGTACATATGTTGAGTGGAGCTCGCTGCTTCTCTAATCTCAGAGTACCTTTGGGGACAGTGTTAAATTCATCAGTCATGCAAATGAATGCAGTTTATGAGTAGAATAATCTACCTCCTGCTCTCTGGAGAATATTGCTTTCAAAGAAGCACCATGATGGGATTTCCGCTTACCCTCTACAGATGCAGAGCAACCAATCAAAAGTACGGTGTGATGTTATTTCTGTTCGAAACATGCTAACTTTGTCATCTTTCGTTTTCTCATACATGTATGTGCATGTATTACAGATGTCTGTATTTATTAGCATATTTGTGTTTTTCATTCTTTGGCAGGAGAATTTCAACCCAGAATGCAAATTCAAAGAGAGTGTGTTTGAGAACTACTATGTGACGTACTCCTCCATGCTGTACCGCCAAAGCCAGTCTGGACGCTCGTGGTATATCGGCATCAACCGGGATGGCCAAGTGATGAAGGGCAACCGCGTGAAGAAGACCAAAGCAGCCGCACACTTCCTACCTAAAGTCATCGAAGGTCAGATCAGGTTTAAACTTGAGAAACATTCAGATTAGGGCTGCATGATTAATCTAATGTGATTGTCATGCGCATCTTGTCAGTAAAGCTGGTTCTGTGAGCAGTAGTAAATCTCCATCACGTGCTTTCAGATGGAGCAATATTTACTACACAGAGCCGTAGTTCACTGACAAGCTATGCAAAATCGCATTCATAATCGCAGACGATATTATTGTGCGATTATGAAATTGAAGATATCGTTCTGTGATTATGAAAGCTGTTTGCATAGCTTGTCAGTGAATGACGGCTCTGTGTAGTAAATGCTGCTCCATCTGAAAGCACGTGAAAATACCACATTTAATAACATGTTTTTACTCCAAACTCACTTCATAACGTCAGTCGAGTGTTTTAAATAAATCCTTATTTGAGATTATGTGGCTTCTTACACAGAATAAGGCACACAATATTTCATAGTATTCTAAGCAGTGATAAAGGCTGTCGATTAGCATTGCATTATTATATACTTTATTATAATAAAAATTATAATAAGACGAACTCAGATAAACCATATATTGTCGTAGTCGCGTGTTTATTAGTCACGCTGAATCAATGAAAGCAGTTAAAGGGGTCATACGTAACATTTCCGTCACACGCTTGAGGAATTCGGCCAATCACAACGCACTGGATAGCTGGCCAATCAGAGCACACCTCGCTTTTTCAGACCGATGAGCTTTGTAAAAATCAACGCATTTCAGAAAGGCGGGGCATAGAGGAGAAACAATAATGTACAGTATGTGGAAAATAATGTGTTTTTTTAACCTTATACTACATAAGCACATTTCATTACACCAAATACACAAAATAATGTTATTTTTAGCAGCATCATATGACCCGTTTAAATCTTCTGTTTATTCAGCAACCACTATAGGGATTTCCTGGATTACTTCTGCAGGGTGTATTTGGAGTTTCAGTGCGAGAGCGCCCTCTGGCCTTCAGATGGGGATTTACTACTGATCAGAGAACTGTGCTTCACTGAAAGATACGCATGACAATTGCAGATTCTGCCTAATCGCGATTTATCGCCTTTGCGATTTCATTTCGATTAATCACGCAGCCCTGATTCAGATGCAGAATATAGATTAGCAGAGACTGACATTCCCAGATGGAAAATCTAACTTAAAGGGGTAACTGTGTTTTAGTTTCTAGCTGGTTAAAGCTTGTCAATAGCTGGTCCAAACAGGTGATAAGCTAGTAGACCAGTTTGGATGGTCTATTAGCAAACCAGGTGGTCAAGATTGTTTTTGGAAGATGGTGACTGGCCAACCAGCTAATAAGCAACAAAGACTAGCTAATAACCAGCTTGCACTGACTAATGAATTATATTCAGCTTGCACTAGCATAGACTAGCTAATATCTAGCTTGCACTAGCTTAGACCCAATAATGACCAACTTAGACTAGCCATCTTGGACCAACTTATAACCAGCTTGCACTAGCATAGACCAGCTAGTAACCAACCAATCTTAGACCAGATAATAACCAGCCTAGACAAGCTAAGGACCAGCTAATAACCAGCTGCCCTAGTTTAGACCAGCTAGTAGCCAGCTTGCCCTATCTTAGACCAGAGGCAGGTGGCATAAAAGTTTAGACTAGTCTTAAAAGTTAGTCAGCTATTTTTTTCTTAAAAACTGGTAAAAAATGTTTTACATTTGGTTACATAAAAACGTAGATTAGTCTAAGCTGAATCCAAAATATAAGACTGATTACCCCTTGGTTAACTGCTAGTTGGTCAAACTAGTTCTTAAGACACTATCTTAACATAGAGGCTAAGTTTATGCAACTGGCCCCAGATAATAACCAACTAATAACCATTCTGCACCGACTAATAGCCAGCTTGCACTAGCTTAAACCAGATAATAACCAGCTTGCACTAACTCAGACCAGATAATAACAAGCTTCAACCACCTAATAACCAGTTTGTACCAGCTGATGACCATCTTAGATCAGTTAATAACCTGCTTGCACCAAATTTAACCAGCCAATAACCAGTTTAGAGCAGTTAATAACCTGCTTGGACCAGCGAATAACCTGCTTGCACTAGCTTAGACCAGATAATAACCAGATTGCTCTAGATTAGGCAAGTTAATAACCAGTTTAGACCACCTAATATACCAGCCTGCGCCAGCTAATAACCATCTTAAATCAGCCAACAACTAGTTTACACCAAAATTAAACCAGCAAATAACCAGATTGCACTAGCATAGACCAGACAATATCCAGCTTTGACTATCTCAAGATAGATAATAACCTGCTTAGACTAGCTAATGACCATCTTAGATCAACTAACAACCAGTTTGCACCAGCAAAAGCCAGCTTGCACTATCTTAAATCAGATAATAACCAGCTTGTGCTAACTCAGACCAGCTAATAACCAGCCTAGACCACCTAATAACCATTTTTCACCAGCTAAAGCCAGCTTGCACTAGCTTAAACCAGATAATAATCAGCTTGCACTAACTCAGACCAGATTGTAACCAGCTTCGACCACCTAATAACCAGCTTGTACCAGCTGATCTTAGATCAGCTAATAACCTACTTGCACCAGATTAAACCAGACAATAATTAGTTTATAGCAGTTAATAACCTGCTTGGACCAGTGAATAACCTGCTTGCACTAGTTTAGACCAGATAATAACCAGATTGCTCTAGATCAGGCAGGTTAATAATTAGTTTAGACCACCTAATAAACAGCCTGCGCCAGCTAATAACCATCTTAAATCAGCTAACAATTAGCTTACACCAACTTGAACAAGCAAATAACCTAGCATAGACCAGCCAATATCAAGCTTTGACTATCTCAAACCAGATAATAACCTGCTTGGACTGGCTGTTGACCAGCTTGAGCCAGCTAATGACCATTTTAGATCAGCTAACAACCAGTTTGCACCAGCTTAAACCAGTCAAAATCCAGCTTGAACCAGATGTCATAGATGAGCTTATATCCAACTTTGGTCATCTTATACTAGATAATAATTAGTTTTGTACCAGCTAATGGCCCTCCCAATATTCCAATTAGTGGTCCAAACACGGGTTTTTCAATGGCAGATTCTTTACGTTTTACATTGCACTATTCCAGAGACTATAACTTTAGTTACTCTGTTGTTGCTTTAAATAACATCAGTGTGTCTTTGTTCTTCTTGTTCCCTCAGTGGCCATGTACAAGGAACCTTCACTGCATGAGCTCGTAGCGGAGCAGAGTCCTCCACGCAAAACCGTAAAGACTTCAGACTCCCCGTCTCACCAGAATGGCAGGAAAGAGGCCCCCAGAGCTGACGCTTCTTAGCACAGGGGACACACGCAGGGAGGGTGAGGGACTACATAGACACTGAGAACTCCATTTTACTTCATGCAGCGAGGGCAGGAAGAGCTGTGTGAGCGGCTGTTAGCTGTGGGTTTTTGAATGGGGCAAGATCAGACAGATGAGCGGAGAATCCCTGCCTCTCTCCGTCGAACTAGCTCATATATTTCCACTGACCCGGCATGACACCTGAACCCCCCCCCCCCCCCAGAGATCCCAAACCA